AAAAAAAAAACAAATCAGTCAAAAGAGGGAGAGGTGGCAGGTTCCTGTAAACTAAATGAGACTTAAGGCTGGGAATGGGCTTAGTGGTAGAATGCTTGCCTAGCATGCATGAAGCCTTGGGTTTGGTTCCTCAGTACCACATAAACAGAGGCCCAGGTAGCTCAAGCCTGTAATCCTAGCTGCTCAGGAGGCTGAGATCTGAGGATTGTAGTTCAAACTAGCCTAGGTAGGAAAGTCCATGAGACTCTCATCTCCAACTAAGAAAAAGCTGGAAGCAGAACTGTGGCTCAATTGGTGGAGTACCCGCCCTGAGCACCAATGCTCAGGGACAGTGCCCAGGCCCTAAGTTCAAGCTCCAGGATTGGACAAAAAGGAAACGGAGTAATTTCCTGAAAGGGTGAGTGGAGAACAGAAAATGTTTCTCTTGTTCTTCTTACTTAAACTAAAATACACTAAATTATATCAGATAATATACACTAAATATAAATATATATACTTTAGGGGCTGGGAAGGTGGCTCAGTGGTAGAGTGCTTGCCTTTTAGGCATGAGGCCCTGGGTTCAATTCCTCAGTACCATATAAGCAGAAAAAGCCGAAAGTGGTGCTGTGGCTCAAGTGGTAGAGCGCTAGCCTTCCTTGAGCTGAAGAGCTGAGGGACAGTGCCCAGGCCCAGGGTTCAGGCTCCACGACGGACCAAATCAAAATACAAAAAACTTTAAATATACTAAAATAACTCTTCACTAGAATTAAAAAAAAAAAAGGAAAGGAAAAGAGGAACAAGAAGAAAATGAAAGGAAAAGAGGAACAAGAAGAAAACGAGTGTTGGGGACAGAATTCAGTGGCATAGTTCTTGCCTAATGAATGTCAGGCCCTGGGTTTGATCCCTAATAGGGGGCGAGAGAGCAGGGGACAAAAAAGCAAATGTGCAACACTTTGAAATTTTCTTTTATTTATTTTGTGTGACTGTATTGGGCTTGAATTCAAACCTCCTGTGCTTGATTGAATTTTTCTGTTCAGGACTGGCACTCTACCTCTTAAGCCACAGATCCACTTCTGGCTCTTTGCTAGTTAATTGGAGATAAGAGTCTCATGGACTTTTAGCCCCAGGTTGACTTTGAAATCTTGAGTGTCAGTTCTCAGCCTCCTGAATAAGTAGCCTGAGCCAGCGGTGCACAGCTTTTTTTTTTTTTTTTTTTGAGACAGGGTCACCTTATGTATCTCCGGCTGGTCTTAAATTACCTTCCTCCATCTGCCAAGGGCTGGAACTAAACGCACGAACCACAGGTTTGGTAACATCCGATCTATTGTCCCAGCTACTTAGAAACACAAAAGCAAACCTCTAATTACAAATGATCTGACCACCATCCTTCTATCCTTAATACTTGAAAACGTTTAAACTTATTATTAGTTTCTTAATTTGGGGAGGTTTGAACTAGAGCTTTTTATTTGCTAAAGCAAGCACTCTACAACTCAAGTCATACTCTCAGTCCATCTGGCCTTCAAATTAAAAACAACAAAAAAATTCTTAATTTACCTTAGCATGGTTAGGTACACAGTTCTACCATGTGAGCCACACCATGAGTCTTTTTTGTTTTAGCTTATTTACTTAACTATTTTCTTTGTGCATGTGTGCTGGTATCATACCTCTACTTTTGCCTTTCTACTGATTAACTGGAGTTAAGTCTCACAGATTTGTCTGCCAGGACTGTCTTTGAAGCAGGATCCCCAGTCATGCTGAGTAGTTAGGACTGAAGCATGAGCCACTGGCACCCAGCTTTAGCTTATTTTTATGTAACGCCTGTCCTTTTGCAGCCAGTTTTGACTCTGATCCTCTTTAAGAGTGCATCCCTAGTAGATGGGATTACAGGCATGAATCACCCTGGCTTGTTTCTTGAGCTGGAATCTTGATAATTTGAATCTGTAATCCCAAGGAGTTGGAATTACAGCTATCATGCCTGGTCCTATGTATGATATTTTTTGAGCAGGGAATTGAACCTAGAGTCTTTATATATATACTATGTATATGCTCTACCATGGAGCTACTCCCATGTCCTTTTGTGTGTGGTTCAAACTGCACATGCTAAGCAAGTACTCTACCATGTGGGCTACCCCCAACAACTCTGTTTTTCTTTTGTTTTGGGGACAGGTCTTGCTACTACATCTCCATCTCCTCAGGCTGGCCTCAAACTCTTGTCTCCACCCTGCCTCTGTCTTCTATGACTGTACATTACTTTGCACATACTGTGTAGGCACTGTGTTTTTGTTTTTTGCCAGTCCTAGGGCTTGAACTCAAGGTCTGGGTATGGTCCCTGAGCTTCTGTGCTCAAGGCTAGCATCTACAATTAAGCCAGCGGACCACTTTTGGCTTTTTCTTTTTATGTGGTATGGAGGAATCAAACCCAGAGTTTCATGCCCACTAGGCAAGCACTCTACCACTGAGCCACATCCCTAGCCTGTGCTTCTTTTTCACATGGAGGAGTGACAAGGCTCTCCCACTCAACCACAGGCTGCAAACATCTACTTCTGGATGAGTTGTGACTTCTCATATCACTTATCATAGGAAGTACTTACTTTGGGTCAGGCTAGCTTGGGATAATTTTCCCATCTGATTTTATTTATAACTGCTTATTTTATGGAGGATAGGAATATAACAAAAGAACAGAACTGTAGATGTAGCTCAGTACTACAGCTTGCCTAAAATGAGCAAGGCTTTAGGTTTGATCCCTAGCACCATAAAACAACAATCAAATTTAGTTTAACCAAGCATGGTGGTGCCATCTGTAATCCTAGCACTCAGAAGCCTGAGGCAGAAAGACACGAAATTTAAGGCCAGTCTGAGCTACATAGTGAATCTACACTAATCTGAGCTACACAGCAAGACAGTATCACAGGAAAACAACCAAATAGAACAAGAGAAAAAAAATTAGGTTTCAAAGTGTCTTACAGAGCTCCCTTCTTGCAGCTATGAAAATTAATCTGGTTTCCTGCTTATAAGAAGGAAGTCAGAAAGCCAGGCACCAGTGGCTCACAGCTATAATCCTAGCTACTGGGGAGGCTGAATTCTGAGGATCCCAATTCAAAGCCAGTTGAAACAAGAAAGTTCATCTCCAATTAACTACCAAAAGCTGAAAGTGGAGCTGTGCCTCAAGCTGGTACTTAACTAGTCTTGAGCACAAAAGCTGAGGGACAGTGCTTAAGCTCAAAGTTCAAGCCCCAGAGCTTAAAAAGAAGAAAAAGAAAAGAAAAGGGCTGGGAAGGTGGCTCAGTGGTAGAGTGCCTGCTTTGCATGTATGAGGCCCTGGGTTTGATTCCTCAGCACCATATAAGCAGAAAAAGCCAGAAGTGGTGCTATGGCTCAAGTGGTAGAGCACTAGCCTTGAGCTAAAGGGCTAAAGGACAGTGCCCAGGCCCAGAGTTCAGGCCCCATCACCAAAAAAGAAAAGAAAAGATAGAAAGAGCTGGATGCTGGTGGCTCATGTCTGTAATCCTAGCTATTCTGGAGGCTGAGATCTGAGGACTGCAGTTCAAAGCCAGCCCAGGCAGGAAAAGTCCGTGAGACTCTTTTTTTTTTTTTAATATCTGTGAGACTCTTATCTCCAATAAACCACCAGAAAACCAGAAGTGGCACTGTGGCTCAAGTGGTAAAGCACCCACCTTGAGCTGAAGAGCTGAGGGACAGCGCCCAGACCCAGAGTTCAAGCCCCATGACCGACAAAAAAAGAAAAGGAAGGAAAGGAAGAAAGAAAAGAGAAAAAGTCAGAGAGAAAGCAGGGTGATATGCTAGATTTAAATTTTCCCATAAGTAGACCACCTACCTTTCCAAAACACAAGTAAACATGATGAAAACAGGAAACATGATATGCATTGACAGAACCACAGAGACTCTACAAATGCTCATCCTCCTTCATTAACAATTTTAAGTTCTTAATACTTTGATTCATAAATAGTGAGGGGAAGGGAGCAGGAGGTATGTACTTAGTTTCTTACCCTGAAACTAAATATGGAGCTCTTTACTAACTCTTTACAAAGCTGGTATCTTCCTCCAACCCTTCTCAGCAGCTTGGCCTTCCCCCTTTTCCTGAGTTTACATTTATTCACTTCTCTAGGCCCAGCTAGCCCTGCCTGAGAAAGGAGCAGCCATTTTCTTGGGAGGGCAGAAAGGGAAGCAGCCTTACCCAGTGTAGTGGAAAGGAAGCGCTCCCAGGGGAGGGCAGGACTTCCTGTGTGTGGGGAAAGCTGAGCTTTTCATTCTAATGGGGGTGATTTCCCTGTCAAAGTGAAGTTGAATTGGCAATTGGTAGAGTGCAAAAAAAGGTGGAGCTGTCCTTCAGGCATTCCCAGCCGACCTTCTACACAGCTGTGGTCCTGAAGGCAGACTCTGGAACCTTCTGTCCCAGGGGCAGGACGCAGCTCAGAGAGTCCCATAGACACTGATTTTGACCATGGAGATGCTCTCTGTGTAGTGGTTCAGGCCTTTCTCATACAGGACGTACAGCTGGGGTGAGTCCTCTTCTCCCTTCCTGCTATTCTCTAGGGCTGCCAGGGATGAGTAGCCACTGGGTCCGGGCCACAGCTGTACTGTCTCTTTCTGCCATGAGGTACCATTGCTGAGGCTCCAGCGCAGGGTCAAGTTCACTCCTAGGGAGAGCAGGAGTCAGGAGAGGCAGGACATTTGGTCTTCCCAAGGAGCTTGATTAGACAGAGGCAGCCTGGTTCACCCCACCCTCAGGTACTCACTGGACTCTGGATGGGCTGGATTGGAGAAGAAGACAATGCCGGAGTTGGTGGCTACAGCTCCTGCTGCTACCACAGGATCCACAAGCTCACGGTCAAAGGTCACATCCCGAAGCCTCAGCGTATCACAGGCATCATAGCTGCGGAGGACAATCCGGCAGTGGCAGTGGTAGTTATTCTGATTCCGGGCATTGATGATGACGGAACCATCTGGAAGCTCATAGGGCTAAGGGAAAAGAACAGTCCTATGAGAGGATCTGGTGAGTGGAGGGTGGAAGAGAGCAGGGAAAATGCCTTGTCTCTGAAGGGACCCAGACCTGGGCTTGTGGGAGGAATGGCGTGCTAGAGGGTAGGGCAGGTGAAATGGTGGGCAGCTTGCTGTGGACTCCTCACCTGGCATTCATCAGGGTTGAAATCATTTTCTCGCTTGGGCTGCCCATACGGGATGCCACTGATCCCAGTCCCGTAGCGCCAGGTGGCACCGTGGTCATCGCTGAGGAGACAGAAGACCCCATCTCGCTCCAGCGTGCCATGGCCACACACGATGAGCCGGCCCTTCCATGGCTCCCGCTGTTTCTGTGAGAAGGAGAGGCGGGTGTCACAGAGGGAGACAGGCTAGGGCCCAGGGAGAGAACAGGGCACCAACCACCTCCTAAGAGTGAGGATACATGTGGTTTCTTTCTTAAGGGTCCCAGAAAAATCCCACAAATGTAGACTGCATAAACCTCATAGACTGCTGCCCAAATTAAGTTGTTTTTTTTTTTGGTGCTGGTACTGGAGCTTGAACTCAAGGCCTCACATACTTCGCTTTTCCTGCTTAAGGCTGGTACTCTACCACTTGAGCCACATTTCTAATTCGACGTTTTTGCTAGTGAATTGGACATAAGAACCTCTTGGGTGATACTCACTAGACACTATGGTGAAAATGAACTATGCAACTTGTGAAGGGGGACCAGGAGGGGGAAAACTGGGAGAAAATGAGGGAAGAGGTGACACCGTTAAAAAAAGAAAATGTTCTCTTGCTCTTGCTGTTCTTTTCTTGGTCTCTCTGTTCTATTCTAGCTCTCTCTCTCTCTGTTCTTTTCTTGCTCTCTCTCTTTCCCAGCCACATGGAGTGCCAACCTTGCCTGGTCCCAGCAGGTCTACTGAATAAACCTACCCCTTACCTGAATACCACGTGCGTGCTGGTGCTGTTCTTACTCGGTTACCTCTTTTTAAAAACCTAACATAAATGGTGCCGTGACTCGGATAAAGGCTTAAAGTCAGGATAGCTGGGATTTCTCTGCTTTTTTTCCTCTTTTTTCTTTTTTTGTTCTTCCCTTTTTGCTCTGAGGAATACCCACAGTTCTGACGGCCTTTTGCGAACCAGTCTGTCTGCGGCGGAATCAGCGCATCGATACCATTGCTGCCTTCACATCCACGTCCACACCACTTCTCTACTCTGGTGAGTGAAACTACTCTATGGCTCTCTGTTACTCAGTCTCTGTCCAGACGTGGCACCACGCCAGAGAGCTCCTACGGCCTTTAGCTGAAAGGCCGGTCACCTCTGAAGCCAAGGACGCTTGGCTTTGGGGGCTTGGCCATTTCTCTCTAGAGGGCTCTGGGGGAAGTCGGGACGCCGCTTCTGCCTGGTCAGCTCTCCTTCACTCACCAGACTGACTCTACTCATTTAATGGGGTGCTACGAATCACGCCTAAGCCATGAAACCCCTTTGAAATGCCTCCTGCGTTCCCTGGAAAGCCAGACAGCCTAATTTTATGCCATTCTCAGAAGTACACAGTTTTTGCTATTGCAATGGTAAATGGTCAAAAGTTCGTTTAATTTCAGGCTCTCTTTGCTTTCTCTCTGCCATTCATGTCCAACTTTCTACCCTTTTTTCTACAACTTTTTGGCTTGTGCCTTGAAGAGTGCGACGCAGGCTGGGTCCCAGGGACCCCCCTCTAGGTTCCCTTTCAAAGGCTAGCCAATGTAGAATCCAAATGGGGACCCTTATCAATGAATTTCTCAGTACCTTGATCTTGAATTTCTCAACCTCCAGAATTTTGAGAAATAAATTCCTATTGTTGATAAATCAAAAAAAAAAAAAAAAGAAAATGTTCTTATTACCTGACTTATGCAACTGCAACCTTGCTGTACATCACCTTTACAATAAAAATAAAATTTTTAAAAGGAATCTCTTGAATTTGTCTGCTCAGGCTGGCTTACAACTGGGATCTTCAGATTTCAGCCTCTTAAGTAGCTAAAATTACAGGCATGGGTCACCGGTAACCAGCCAAATTGTCTTTGTGTGTGTTGGTAGTGGAGTTTGAACTCAGGGTCACATGCTTGCTAGGCAGGTACTAGAATCATGACCCCAGCTCTTTTTTTGGGGGGTGGGGGGCCCGGTTGTGGGGCCTGAACTCCGGGCCTGGGCGCTGTCCCTCAGCTCTTTAGCTCAAGGCTACTGCGCTACAACTTGAGCCATAGCACCACTTCCAGCTTTTTGTTTTTCTGCTTATGTGGTGCTGACGAATCGAACCCAGGGTCTCATGCATGCAAGGCAAGCACTCTACCACTGAGCCGACTTCCAGCCTGACTCCAGCTCTTTTTATTGTAGTATTTTTCAGATAGTGGATGGCAATTTTGTCTGGGCCAGCCTCAGACCTCCATTCTTCTATTGCCACCTCCTGAGTAGCTATGATTTCAGATGTGGCCACCATACCTACTTTGTCTGTGATGACTTCAAACAAATCCATCTATGTCTACCTTCCACAAGAAGCTTTTTTTTTTGGGTCTGGTCGTGGGGCCTGAACTCTGGGCCTGGGCACCGTCCCTCAGCTCTTCAGCTCAAGGCTAGCACTCTACCACTTGAGCCACAGCGCCACTTCTGGCTTTTTTCTTTTTGCTTATGTGGTGCTGGGGAATCGAATCCAAGGCCTCATGCATGCAAGGCAAGTGCTCTACCACTGAGCCACCTTCCCAGTCTCTCCCTCCCTCCCTCCCTCTCTCCCTTCCTCTCTCTCTCTCTCTCTCTCTTTCTCTCTCTCTCTCTCTTTTGAATATCAGTACTGGGGCTCAAACTCAGGGCCTTGCACTCTCACTTGGATTTTCCTGCTCATGGCTGGGGCTCTATCACTTGAGACATCCCTCTAGTTCTGGCTTTTTGCTGGTTAACTGGAGATTCGAGTCTCCTGGATTTGTCTGTCTGGGCTGACTCTTAACCTCTATCCTCAGATCTCAGCATCCTGAGTAGCTAAGATTATAGGCATGGGCCACTAGCACTTGGGCAAACCTTTCCTCTGCCTGGGATAATCTTCACTGTTCAGAATTACCTAATTCCGCTCTTTGCCCAGATGTCACCTATTTAAAACTTCAACCAAATGGCAGCACTTGTTCTGCTCCTTGCTCTATTTAATTTTTTCTCCATTGATTCGATCACCTCCTCAACCCAAATAATCAAATTTATTTAATTAGTATACTTATGGACTAGCTCTTGCCAGGAGAATATAATTCCCTTGAAGGTAGACAGAGAATTTTGGTCTATTTTGTTCATGGCTGTATCTACAGAATCTTTAATCTGACATATAGCAGGTGCTTCACTAGACATTTTTCCCTCCTAAGGGGTTGGCCTTAAGGGTCTCAGGCTTTAGCCCTCCAAGTTTCTCTATCCTTATTCACCCCGGGAACCTTTATACCTTGGTCCGTGGACCTCCGCAGGGCGATGAACTTGGCCCCCTCATCAGATGCAGACATTTTTCTGGCCTCGGAGAAAGCAAGGAGAGTGCCCCGAGGAGTGGCTGTAATGAGCGGGATTCGGAAGGTGTCCACCGAGCCGATCTGCTTCCCGCTCACCCACAGCAACTGTTCCAGGGTCACCAGCGGCTGCACCTATGCGAGAGGAGGGGGCTGTCAACGCGGACAAGCTGGACTTCAGGCTTTCGGACGGAGGGCAAGCGACTCCAGTTGAGACTCCGACCAGGGGTGGGGGTAGGGATCCCAGGAAAAGGGGAAGAAAAAAAAAAAAGAGTCCGAAGGAGGGTTTGGACTGAAGATGGCAGGGAGCAGGGACACTCAGGAAGGGGACCACAAAGAGGGAAGGACTTGGAATAAGGAAGGCAGGGATGAGGACCCGGGAGTCCTGCCGGAGTTAGGGGGTCTGGGGGGACAGCGGACAGAGACCACCGGGCGGTGACTCACCATACTGAAGTCGTTCCTAGTCCTCGCCTCCAATCCATCCAGAGTCAACAGCAGAGGGATGATCGCGACAAACACCCCAACTCTACAGAGGCACAGGGTCCAAGATCTCCAGGATCCGCCCTGGAGCGCGCTGACCGAGGGCTCCCGCATCCTCCCTCCCCAAGACCCCGGCCGAGACCCGGACTGGGGCTGAAATCAGTCACCTGACCCGGGCTCTTTAAATGCTCAGAGGCCACCCTGAACCTGCCCCACCGGTACCTCCCTCCCGCCGCCAGTGTGCCACTCTAATTGGTCCTCAAACATCCCGACCTCCCGCCTCCCTTCTGGCAGCGCCTGTGAGATGGCCCTGCTGACTGGCTCTTTTTGCCGGAGCGCGTGACCCAGACGGGAAGTTTATTGGCTAGGGCAAAGAAGGCGGTTTCATTCTATAGGAGCTTTTGATTGGCTATGGTTTCAGAGTCCTACTCACAGGAGGCGAGGCCTGTTTTAAAGCAACGGGCTGAGGGCTGGGAAGGTGGCTCAGTGGTAGAGCGCTTATCCTGCATGCGGAGGCACTGGGTTCGATTCCTCAGCACCATATAAGCAGAATAAAGCCGGAAGTGGCACTGTGGCGGGACAGCGCCCAGGCCCCACCACCAACAAACAAAAGCAACTGGCTGGGTTAAAAAGCAGCATGGTGGGGCATTGGGGGTGGGGAGGATAACAAAAGAAATTTGATTTGTTGAGAAAACAAAATATTAATCTTTAATAAAACCTATTTACTACAAAATCAAACATTTTTTTTAAGGCAAAGTGTGACTGGGGATGGGGGGGTCTGTACAGGAGGAGTTCAGTCTCGTGTCAAGGGAGATTCTTTTATTTCTTCCTCTTTTTGTTTCCTGGGGGCACTTCGTTCTTTTTGCCTAGAATCTTCAGGAGAGACTTGGGCATGTAGTAGGGCCTGTCCAGGGAGCCATCGTGACGTTCTAGGTCTTCCACTGAAAGGCAACATAAATCGGTTACAGCAGATCCTAGGATCCACTCTCCCCAACACTAGGGAAATGGGGGACTGGGAGATTATCTGTCAAGTTTCCAATCCAGGCTGCACCACCACCAGCTAGTTTTGTTTTCATTTTTTTTCCTCCCACCCCCACAGAGGTTTGTAAAGCTATTGGCCAAGTTATGGAATCTGTTTCTTCACGTAAAGTGGAGTCAATGGTATATTTCAGCGTGGTAATGATGATTAACAAATATAAAAATGCCTATCAGCCAGGCTCCAGTAGCTGAGGATCAAGATTTGAAGCCAGCTCAGGCAGGAAGTCAGTGAGACTCTCATCTCAAATTAATCACAAAATAAGTCTGCAGTAGAGCTGTATCTCAAGTGATAGAGCATCAGTCTTGATTGAAAAAGCTAAGGGAAAGTCTCAGGTCCTGAGTTCAAACCCCAATTGCGCACACATGCATCAACTGCTTAGCACACAGCTGGCAGCATAGCTAAGTGGTAGACCACGAGGAGTAATCTAATACAACCACAAAAGCAACCAAAAAAAAAATCTGAATGAATAAAATCCTCTTACTACAGCCACTTTCTGGGAAGTGTCTATTCTGGTTAATTTATACCCTAGATTTCCTAGAGAAAGAGAGCATAGACCATCAGCCTGAGAATTCACTTCTTTTTTTCCCAAACCTCTGGCTTTATTTATTTATATTTATTTATTATTTTTGCCAGTCGTGGGGCTTGAACTCAGGACCTGGGCACTCTGCCTGAGCTTCTTTTGCTCAAGGCTAGCACTCTACCACTTTGAGCCACAGCACTAATCCCAGCTTTTTCTGTTTATGTGGTACTGAGAGATTGAACCCAAGGCTTCATGCATGCTAGGCAAGTACTCTACCACTAAGCCATATTCACAGCTTTTTATTTATTTTTTGTGTTGGTTGTGGAGCTTGAACTCAGGACCTGGGTGCTGTCATTGAGCTCTTTTTGCTTAAGGCTAGCACTCTACCACTTTGAACCATAGCACCAGTTCGTTTTCTGGTAGTTAACTGGAGATGAGTCTCATCATAGACTTTCCTGCTCAGGCTTGCTTTGAACCATGATCCTCTGTCTCAGCCTCCTGAATAGTTAGGATTACAGGTGGGAGCCATCAGTGCCCAGCAACCCCTGGCTTTAGAATGTCAGAAGAAGCTGCTCCTAGCTCCTTTGGTTCTCTACAAGCATCAAGTCTCCTAAAAGGCTTAGAGGAAATGGCTTGGGGGTGAGGGTGTGTCACTCACAGAAACACAGGAAGAGTGTGTCCACACACATGCCGAAAACACTGAAGAAGCCACTGGCGATGACATAGGCTCCCACAATGGAGGTCTACAAGACACAAGGCTGGTTGGGATTGGTCTGTTCCTTAGGGGAGTTAGGGGATACATCAAAGAGACCAGTTACTCACCATAATGGGTAGCCAATAATAGTTGAGGTGGGGGTTCTCAAAGTCTTTACCCAATCCCTTGATTTGGCCAGAGAAAAAAAAGAAAGACAAGACCCCTGTGGGAGAGTTTTGGATGTTAGGGATGCTCCTTTGAGGTCACCTGTTCAGCTGCCTAGCACCCCTAAACCCTGACCCTTATCAACACCTTCAATGAAAGTCCTGGTCCTTACCGACACCTCCAACCACAAGCAGCTTCCCAAAGAGCAGCAGCAGGTCTGTGACTTTATCCAGGACAACCACCCTGTGTCAGAATTTAGGGTAGATTGTGGGTGAGATTTCTGGGAGTGGAATTGGCTATATTATTTGCAGGGACAGCTAGGAAATGAAAATGATGCACATTTTAAGATGGCAATATGCAGAGCATTAAACCAAACACAAGGCATTCGGGGCACAGAATGCTGTGAAGTCCGATTTGGGTGAGAAGGGTTGGGGACAAGCCTCACCTGACAACATTCCGCATGAGCAGCATGAAGGCATTTTTGGCTGAGACACAAAAATTCTTCCCATAGATGGCGATCTATGGGAAGTGGGAAAGTCAGAGTTACCTATGATGAGCTTACTTGGACCAGGTTATGGGTTTTTTTTTTTTTTTTTTTTTGGGTCCGGTCATGGGGCCTGATCTCTGGGCCTGGGCGCTGTCCCTGCGCTCTTCAGCTCAAGGTTAGCACTCTACCACTTGAGCCACAGCGCACTTCCGGCTTTTTTCTTTTTTGCTTATGTGGTGCTGAGGAATCGAACCCAGGGCCTCAGGCATGCAAGGCAAGCGCTCTACCACTGAGCCACCTTCCCAGCCCAGGTTATGGGGTTTGACCACTGTGCTCACCATGATGTATGCATTGCGGTTCAGGAACTTGATGAACTTTTCCAGACACCACAGACAGCACTTGAAGCAGCACATGATGCAGCGGGCCATTGGGTTCTGGGCTCCTAGGAGCAAGGAAAGTCCATGCTTGATTACTGGCCCCTGACTCTCCTCCACTCCCAAGAATCTAGTTGCTCAGTCTGGCCTTCTCCAACTCTTGATGGGCTCACCTCTCAGCTTGTGGTCAATGTACTCTAGGATGATCCGGGCTATTTGCACAAGGCTCAGGATGAGGGCTCCAAATGCCAGCGATCCTGTGTGGTAACTGCAGGGGAAATTAGGTCATTTGGGGTAGCCTAGCACCCTAGAGTCCCTATTGTTCCTAACTCCCAGGACTCTGCCCCTGACTTACCGGAGTGTGCGGATGAAGGCTGCGCTCAGGGGGAAGGTAGGGATATCCTGAGGCTTGTGGAAGGCCCAGTAGAAGGAGGCAAAGGCCCCAGCCAGGACACATTGGCCTAAGGCCAGAACCCAGTTAATGGTCCAGAAGAGCCCTAGGATCCCATAGATTTGTAGGTTGAAGAGAGAACGTTGTACTAGGCCTGTGGATGTGTAGCCCTGAAAGACGCACATCAGCCCTGGACAGGTGTAGTTTGTAGACTGGGCCTGGAGGTGGCAGGGAAGACAGAGTAAGATGAATATGGCTTCAGAGGGCACAGTATGGCTCCCTGATCTCCGTCCATTCCCAGTGGTCCCCAAGGTGGAGGAGTCTGTTCTTTCTAGAGACTTGTTTCCAGGTATAGACTATGTACTGGCTATTGTATGAAGGGACTTCGCTTCCTGGCCCAGGACTGGCCCCCAAAACTCCCTGGCCACCTGTGTGTGGGTAGGGAGACACTGTCCCTTTCACTTTCTCAGCCACCTTCTCCAGGGCCCAACTTCAGTTTTACCCAGGTTATCTGAGAACTTGCTCCTCCTACCTCTGAGTTCAGGGGTGATAGATGTTTGCCACTATACCGGATAGCCCATGACTTACACAAAGCCGGTGATGCTGGACTGGAGTTACTGCTTATATGGTAGAGTGCCAGCCATGAGCCAAAAAAAGCTGAATGAGACTGAGCTCAAATATGACTCACACCTGCAATCCTAGATACCCAGGACACTGAGATCTGGAGGATCAAAATTTGAAGCCAGGGTGGGCAGAAAAAGACTTTATTTCCAAAATAACAAAAAGGACCAGAGGCTTGTCTTAAGTGTTAGAATACCAGCCAAGCAAGCATGGGGCCCTTTAAAATGTAATCACCAAGCCGGGCGCTGGTGACTCACGCCTGTAATCCTAGCTACTCAGGAGGCTGAGATCTGAGGATCGTGGTTCAAAGCCAGCCCAGGCAGGAGAGACTGTGAGACTCCTATCTCCAGTAACCACCAGAAAAACTGGAAGTGGCACTGTAGCTCAAGTGGTAGAGCACTCGCCTTGAGCTGAAGAGCTGAGGGACAGTGCCCAGGCCCAGAGTTCAAGCCCCATGGCCGACCAAAAAAAAAAAAATGTAATCACCAAATCGGTCCAGTCCTCCCTCCCTTCCCTTCCTTCCTCCTCTTCTTTTCTTTTCTTTTCCCAGGGTCCAGGGCTTGAACTTGGTCTGGGCACTCTCCCTTAATTTCTTTTTGCTCAAGGCTAGTGCTCTATCACTTGAGCTACAGTGCCACTTCTGGCTTTTTCCTGTGTAGTTTATTGGACATAAAAGCTTCATGAACTGGGCTGGGAAGGTGGCTCAGCGGTATTGTGCTTGCCTTGCATGCATGAGGCCCTGGGTTCGATTCCTCAGCACCACATAAGCCGAAAAAAAAAAAGCCAGAAGTGGCGCTGTGGCTCAAGTGATAAGAGTGCTAGCCTTGAGCTGAAGAGCTGAGGGACAGCGCCCAGGCCCAGAGTTCAGGCACCACGACCGGACCCAAAAAAAAAAAAAAAGTTTCATGAACTTTCCTGCTCAGCCTTCCAACTATGATCCTCAGATCTCAGCCTCTTGAGTAGCTAGGATTACAAGTGTGAGGAACTGGTACCTTTCTTTCTTCTTTTTTTTCTGTTCTTTTTTTCTTTTCCTTTCTTTTTTTCTTTTCTTTTCCATCTTTTTACCCATACTGGAGCTTGAACTTAGGTTCTTATACTCTCATCTGGCTCTTTTGCTCACAGCTGATACTCTATCACTTGAACCATGTCTCCAGCATGGATTTTTGCTGGTTATTCTGGGGATAGAATCACACAGACTTCTTTTGCCTGGGCTGGTTCCAAACCATGATCCTCAAATCCGGGCCTCCTAAGTAGCTAGGATAAGAGCCATAAGTGTCCAGCTTTTTATACCCCCCTCTAGTACCGGGGTTGAACCAAAGACATTGGGATTTCTTGGTAAGTGCTCTACATGTTTGAAATTGTGTAAGAAAAATAAACCACATTCCACTCTGGAGATCACTGCAGGTAGGTGTCAGTCCTCACTGATGGAAGGTGAGTTAGTAGCAAAGGAGAACCAGGTCATCCTGAGCTTGGCATACACAGTGCTAGCACACAGTAAGGTCTTGTGCTAATCTAAAAGAGCTTCATTTATAATTTTTTAGTTAACTAGAATGTGGTTGCCAGGTATGGGTGGTTCATGCCTGTAATCCTAGCTACTCAGGAGGCTGAGATGTGAAGATCATGGTTTGAAGCTGGCCCAGGCAGAAAAGTCCCCTTGAGACTCTTTTCTCCAATTAACCACTCAAAAACAAAAAACAAAACAAGGAAAAACCCCAGAAATGGCTCAATTGGTAGAGGGCTAACCTTGAGCACAAAGAGGCTCAGGGACAGTATCCGGGCCCTGAGTCCCTCCACAACCAAAAATAAATAAACAAACAAATAAATAAATAGAATGTGGCTAACGCTTGCTGCAGGCATAGCTCACAGTTCCAGCTCAGAAATGGTAGGCCCTGGGCTGGGAAGGTGGCTCAGTGGTAGAGTGCTTGCCTTGCATGCATGACGCCCTGGATTCGACTCCTCAGCACCACATAAGCAGAAAAAGCTGGAAGTGGCGTTATGGCTCAAGTGGTAGAGTGTTAGCCTTGAGTTAAAGAGCTGAGGAACAGCACCCAGGCCCAGAGTTCAGGTCCCACATTCAACAAAAAAGAAATGAAGAGAAATGACAGGCCCTGCAAGCTTTGAGCTCAATTTGTTCTGACCAGTTTAGTGCCACACCTTGGGGGCTCGAAGGGGGACTTTGGGGAAACAGCGCCACCCTCAGGTCCTCCTGGGAGTCCCACCTCCTGGTTCCAAGGAAGGTAGATTTAAAAACAAAGAAACCACAACAAAAAGCAAAACAATCCAAGCAGTTACAGGCTCTTATCAGAGTCCAGGCATTATACAAAGGACTTTATGTACCCAGTGTCATTTAACCTTTTCAGCCACATCGAGGAACATGAGTATGATTAAGCTCCATTTCCCAGAACACAAGGCCAAGGGCTGAGGGTGAAGTAGTTAATGGCCCATGCAGTAGAGGAAAGTCCTGCTGTTCAACCTTCCTGTCTTCTTCCTTCAGGCCATGCCTTCTGCTGCCTCATTTTCCTTCCCACAAAATGGGTGACTCAGCCAGGAGGAGGGAGGTGGCCAGTTATATGACCTTAAGCCAGCCCCTTGCCCTCTCAGGCCTCTATTACCTCTGTGGTATGGGGGACCTGGGCTAGTTGGCCTCTAATGTCCCCTCAGCCTTGTTGAAGTCCTATAAGTACCCTTCCACTTTCTCTTACCATAGGATCGCAGGATGCATTCACTGGTGCATTCTCACATCCAGGGGCACTCTCATTGGACACCCAATAGACATACTGGGGTTGCCCGGATGTGGCCAGGTACCCAAAGGGGAGTCAAGGAAAGTATAGCCCCACAGTGACTCCACAGGTCTTCCCTTAGGACCCATTCCTGGAAGCTAGGGCAAAGCGAGCTGGAATACAGCCTGTGCTTGAACTCAAGGCCTGAGTGCTGTCCCTTAGCTTTTGTGCTCGAGGTTAGTACTCTACCACGTTGAGCCATAGCATCATTTCTGGTTGTCTAGTGGATAATTGGAGATGAGAATCTCACAGACTTTCTTTCCTGGGCTGGCTTCGAACTGGGATCCTCAGATCTCAGCTTCCTGAATAGCTGAGATTACAGGTATGAGGCACCAGCCGCCCAGCCTTAGCTTACTCTTTCTTGACTTTGACCCAGCACAAGGCTGTGTCTGCCCAAAGAAAGGTACAGGCATGCACTTCTTCATCCCCTGTCCTGCCCCGAGAGCACGAAGACAGAGGGTCCAGCTAGGAAGACAAAGGATACAGAGCAGTCATGGCCCAGTAGGCAATGCAAATGACCAGGAGGACAAAGGTGACGAGTGGGTAGAACAGAGTTGACATCATCTGTCCCACAGCTCTGTGAGGAGAGAAAAATAATCCACCATTAACACAGTTCTAGCCCTGAGACCCCCAGGGTCAAACTTGGCAAGAGCCCCTTGTCTACCTTGGCCACGACCTGTCTGTTTCCCTAGGCTGGGAGCAACCAGGCAGCAACTTCATCTTCCATATCTGTATCTCCAGCACCAATTGTGGGGCCACATACACCTGAGGTGCTCACTGAATGAGCTGAATAATCTGGTTCAAGAGATGTATGCTGGGGCTGGGAATGTGGCTCAGTGGTAGAATGCTTGCCTAGCATGCATGAAGCCCTGGGTTTGATTCCTCAGTACCACATAAACAGAAAAAGCTGGAAGTGGCGTTGTGGCTAGCTGAGCAAAAGAAGCTCAGGGACAGTGCCCAAGGCCCTGAGTTCAAGCCCTGGAACTGACAGAGGGGTGTGTGGGGTGGAGCAGTATGCTGGGAGCATATGGCTCACCTCTGTAATCCTAGCTATTTGGGAGGCTGAGAGCTAAGGATCATGGTTTGAAGCCAGCTTGGGCAGGAACGTCTGTGAGACTCTTAACTCCAGCTAACAACCCAAGAGCCAGAAATATAGCTGTTGGTCAAGGTAGAGTACTAGCCTTGAGTGAAAAAGATAAAGGACAGTGCCTAGGTCCAAAGATCAAGATCCAATGCCAGTATATATATATATATATATATATATATATATATATATATGACACACACACACACACACACGAATGTATAGAGCAGACTAGGGACATAGAAGCTACCTGGGTAGCCTCAGGAGCATCAGGGAAGAGAATTTCCAAATGTGGTCTTCTGACAAGATTTAATAGCTACTGGTAAGGAGTAAGCTGTTGCTCCTCCTTCCTGCCTAGAGTCCTACCATTTCATCCAGTGACCCCATAGCTCCTACAGGGACCAGGTCCATGTTCTAGGCACTTGGTAGACACCCATAACCTTCACCATAACCCATAATGTAGGGACTGACATTATACCCATCTTATAGATAGAGAAAGGAAAATTGAGGCTCTAAGAGGTTGAGCAAGGTTAATCACTTCACTATTGTGTCCTCTTCTGGGGCTCCCTACCACCTCCTAGGTACTCTCCCCCACCAGCCTGCACTCCAACCCTCAGCCCCTTTTTTTCCCTTAAGCAGGCCCTTACTTGCTGGCCTCCTGCAGAAGGGCGATGGCAATTCGAATCCGCTGCCTCAGGAAGATAAGCAGGAGAAGCAAGATGCCTTCAATCACGGCCAGCAAGATCACTGCAGAGGGGGACAGTGGACAGAGTGCCAGGGTCAGAAGCAGGGTGGGCACAAGTCCTTGGTGGCTGGAGGATGGATGGAGCGAGCACTCACAGGCGGCTAGCCAGGTCTCCTGCACACTCTTGTAGGCGCTGAGGTTGGTGGTGAAGCCCAGCTGGGAGATGGAGGCACCCTTGTCTCGCAGCACCCGGTACTGGTCCCAGCAGTGGTAGATACCGTAGGCCAACACAGCTAGCACCCCGAGGATCAGCACCAGCACCAGGGGCCCGGCCATCAGACGCAGAAGCAGGATAAACAATAAGCTCAGGACCAGAGCCACGCCTAGGGCACTGCAGACAATGTGATATAGATGAGGGTCATTCTGGGTTCCTAAAGTATTTCCTGGCCCCATTTCTCTTATAAAGCTTCCTAAGCCTAGGATCCACTCCTAGCTCTTTCTCATTTTCTCCTCCTCCTCTTCCTCCTTTATTAATCTCAGCTTCAGACATGGGACTAGGAGAAAAGTGGATCAAGGAGGGAAGAAGGAAAAGAAGGAAGAAAGAGAGGATGGGGGAATTTGGTGACTCACACAAGGATCCAATACCAGGACCGGGCAAAATCCTCAAAGATCTTAACCGTGATGTCTCGGGCATTGATGCTGTCCAGAAGCCCACTGGAGGGGAGGGATAGAGTCAGGTGGTGCTGTGGCTAGAAAGGAGTGTAGGATGGATGTGGGGGGGAGAGGTGCCTACCTGATCCCTTGAGAAACGCTGGTGTTATGGATCCCAGGGAAATCAGGCAGCGTGTAATTTACATTGGGCAACGGAAAACAACGTCCCAGAGCTGCAAGGGAGAACAGGGGCTGCTGCATGGTAGGACTCCACGTCCTTAGCCCACAGGGCAAGGGACTGATAGACTTTGCTTCTCAGGGGCTGGAGGTGCTGCTCTTGGTTCTACTGCCAAAGCAGTAGTTCTTGCCCTGTGCAGTCTGGGCCACTTCCCCCTCCCTCCCTAACCTCCCCCCCCCCTGCTCTGCCTCCTCTCTGGCCTGCACTGCTACAGTATCTCCAATCCCAACTTTTCAAGACCAGGGCACTGCCCAACTGCCTTATCCGTGCACTCCAGATTATTCTGCTGGTCAGACATCTCTAGAGGCTCTGTCCTGGAGAGCCACCATCCATGCTCCTTGGCCAGGCTACTGGGTGCTTTCACTGAGTACAGCTCCCCCTCCCCTCACTTCTACATCTCAGCTTTTGCTGAGCCTCTCTCTGAGCTTCTGTTCCATCTCACCTCCTCCAGGAAGCCTTCAGCCCTGTCTCCTGCATCTCCTCACACTCGTTAGACACCTAAAGGCACCTATGCAGAGCTATTTCTAGCAGCATTATCCTAGTGACAAGGTTGCTAAGTGGCCATTTTGCTATTTACATTCTAAAGATGAGGAAACACAGTGCAGATAGGTTGAATAATTGACTCCAGACCAGTCAGCTAGACAGTGTCAGAGTTTGAATCCAGATCTCTCTGATTTTGGAACAACTATTTCTCATACGTTATATTGTACTTATATTGAAAGTTAAGTATCTTTCCTCATGCTGTAACCTTTTTTTTCTCCCCACTCCTGTGGCTTGAACTCAGGGCCTGGGCACTGTCCCTGAGCTTCTTTTGCTCATGGCTAGCATTCTACTATTTGAACCACAGCACCATTTCTGGCTTTTTCTGTGTATGTGGTACTGAGGAATTGAACCCAGGGTTTCATGTATGCTAGGCAAGCACTCTACCACTAAGCCACATTCCCAGCCCCTCATGCTGCAATTTAAATAATGTTTTTCTACTAGAAATTATAAGGAAATTAAAACAAACAAACAACAACTCACAGAAGGGCGCTGGTGGCTCATGCCTGCCTGTCATCGAAGATACTTAGGAGTCTGAAATCTGAGGATTGGGGTTTGAAGCCAGCCTGAATAGAACACTCCCTGAGACTCTAACCAGCAAAAAGCTGGAAGTGGAGGTATGGTTCAAATGGTAGAGTACTAAGCCTTAAACAAAAAAGCTATGCAAGATTATTAAGGCTCTGAGTTCAAACTGCAGTACTGGCAAAAATAAAGTCCTCATAAACAGTGGTGGCACAGGCCTATAATCCCAATATTTAAGAGGCTAAGACAGGAGGATTACTATGTAGGCATCCTGGGGAAGGTGGCTCAGTGGTAGAGCGCTTGCCTTGCATGCATGAGGCCCTGGGTTCGATTCCTCAGCACCACATAAGCAGAAAAAGCTGGAAGTGAGGCTACAGCTCAAGTGGTAGGGCACTAGCCTTGAGCTGAAGAGCTGAGGGACAGCGCCCAGGCCAAGAGTTCAGGCCCCACGACCGACCAAAACAAAAATTACAGCTGCTGTTAGAGCATCATACAGGATCATCCTTTCCCATCACTCCAAGCTCTCCTGTAACCTTACAACCACCTTTGCTCCCTCCACCCAGAATGTAGCTCAAACTTGCTCTGTCCTTGCTCTGTCCTTGCTCTGGTGCACAGTAGGTGCTCAGTAAGCATTGAGGGCTTGATTGCATGGTCACATAGCAGAGAGAGAAATGAAGACCTGGTGCCCATCCCAGTTTTGCCATTGACAAGCTATGTGGCTTTCCTCTCGCTGGTCCTGCTTTCCTCGTTTGAGGAATAAAAATATTGACTCTTATGATGAATGTATCCTCACCTGGAGTGGAAGGGAGGAGGAAACTGGGACAGAGCTCCTGTTGTAGGCTTTCCAGCACTATCTAGGGATAGAAAAGAGACGATAGACAGACACACTGATGTAAAACAGAATGAAGAATCAAACTCTTCTTCATCACCGCCACCACCACCACCAAGGGTGGGGATGTCTGCTTACCCTTCTTAGGAGAGCCAATCAGTGATCACCAATCCACTTCCCCGCCCACCCCTGCCCATTGTGGGCCCTTCTGGGCGGCAGTGACGATGTTGGAGTCAGTGCTTACCATATTCTGGGGTACTCCTGGCAGGCAAAAGTTTTTATTTCCTTTGGAGAAGACCTCCCCGACTGTCAGTGACAACTGGTTACTCTCCACAGCCCACGGTGTCTCTGGACAGGAGGACACACATACCTGGGGGCAGAGAACATGCTAAGTAGCTGGTTACTTGGAGATGCATGGAATGGGGGGCAAGTCCCAGGCTCTGACCTGGGGCGTGGGGCACTGTAGGCTGTTCTGGGCGACCGTAATGATGTTGGCACTCAGGATGCAGCTGAAGATGTTGAAGTACAGGACATAGGGTTTATCTCTGCAGGAAGGGAGGAAGTGTGCACTTCAGGGTGTGGTTAGGTGTTAGGGGAGAAGAGAGACTACTAGGGTCTCTCCCCTAGATTACAGTGGGTCCTGTGTGGCCCAGTCTCATCCAGCTCCTGGTCCCAGCTCAAGTAGGGAAGCAACGAAGACACCTGATAACATCCCAGTCGTTTATACTACAACAGCTGAGTGGCAGCGAATGTGGTGCAAAATCTTCCAGCTTAACAGCTTTGAACAAGTCTTAAGGGCTCTGCCTCAGTTGTACCATAGATGAAACAATAACCTTTACCTCAAGAGGCTTAAAAGGTATTTTGTTTGTTTGTTTTTTTGGGTCCGGTCATGGGGCTTGAACTCTGGGCCTGGGCGCTGTCCCTCAGCTCTTCAGCTCAAGGCTAGCGCTCTACCACTTGAGCCACAGCACCACTTCCGGCTTTCTTTTTGCTTATGTGGTACTGAGGAATCGAACCCAGGGCCTCTGGCATGCAAGGCATGCGCTCTACCACTGAGCCACCTTCCCAGCCCCTTAGAAGGAAGGGAGGGAGGGAGGGAGGGAGGGAGGGAGGGAGGGAGGTGTGTGTGTGTGTGGGGGGGGTATACTGCCTGTCTAGAACATAGTAAATGTTATATGATTATTAGGGTTTTTTTTCTTTTTTGGTGATGGTCTTAGGACTTGAACTTAGCTTTTTCACTCAAGGCTAGCACTCTACCACTTGAGCCACAGCTCTGTTTTCGACACTTTGCTGGTTACATGGAGATAAAAGTCTCACAGACTTTCCTGTTCAGGCTGGAAAGTCAAACAGCTTTCCTTAGATCTCAGCCTCCTGAGTAGCTAAGATTACAAGTATGAATCACCAGCACCTGGCAAGGGTTATTTGTTAGCCATTTCCTGCATGTAGGGTAATAAGAGTTTCTAGAATTACCTTGTGCTCCAGGTAAGGGAATCAAAGCTCAGAGAGGTCAAGTAAATGACCGGAGGCCATACACCCAAAACTTAAGACCAGTCAAGGATCCACCAGTCAAGGATCCAAACAGTAACCTGTGAACTCTAAGCTCATACACTTAATCATGACTCTACACTTAACTCCCGGTCCTGAGGGCGGGGACTCAAGCTACCCGTCCAGCCAGAGATGGCTCTCAATATGGCCTCCAGTGATTGGAATGGGGGGGGATGCTGAGGGTGGAGTGGAAACAATGGGGAAAGAATGCAGAAGGAACAAGCACAGTTCAGTGCCTAGCTGAGGGGTCTTCCTCCGCCTATTCCACATCTTGCCTCTCTCCTGCCCCTTTCTTCCCACTTTTTTGTTGTTGTTGGTCGTGGGGCTTGAACTCTGGGCCTGGGCACTGTCCTTGTGCTCTTCAGCTCAAGGCTAGGGTTCTACCACTTGAGCCACAGTAACATCTCTGGTTTTCTAGTGGTTTATTGGAAATAAAGAGTGTCACGGGCTTTCCTGCCCAGGCTGGCTTTGAACCGCGATCCTCAGATCTCAGCCTTCTGAGTAACTAGGATTACAGGCGTGAGCCACCGGGGCTCAGCTTCTTCCCACTTTTGTACTCACTTGTTCTCTCCCATCCCGCAGTAGGCTCCGGTGGAGTTCCTGGGGTAGAGGACTTGCCGAGGGTCTCCATACACCCAGGCTGGAGACAGACCACACAGATGCATCATGGGAAGGCAGAGACTTGGGGAGAAGCTCTAAGGTAGTCCCTACCTGATTTACTGCCCCTACCCACAGCCCCAACTCTGGGCAACTGGGAACTTACCCACAATCCCTACCACAATGTAACCCAAAATGAAGAGAAAGAAGAGGACGCAGCAGATGACATCTGTGCAGCTCCTGAGGGAGAAATGGAGGTCTGAGCAGGGCAGAGGTGGGTTGGGAACCTCTGAAGAGGAAGTGCATGGGTTGGTCTGGAGAACTGGGGAATCCCCGAGAGGGTGGGTATCAGCAGGTTTTATTTATTTGAGAAATTTTTTTTCCTGCCAGGTGCTGGTGGTTTACACCTGTAACCTTAGCTACTTAGAAGGCCAAGATCTAAGGATCCAAGTTCAAAGTCAGCCTGAACAGGAAAGTTGTTGAGACTCTACTCTCCAATTAACCACCAAAAGGCCACATGTGGAGGTGTGACTCAAGTGGTAGAGAGCCAGACTTGAGTAAAAAAGCCAAGGGAGAACATGCAGACCTGATTTCAAGCTCCAGGACTGGCATAGGAAAAAATAAATAAAAGGAAAAGTCCTTTTTCTGAGTGGTTATCTTTCTCCTGAACTAGAACGGAAAAGACCAGCTTGAGCTAGAAGTAGAGCTCAGTGGTAAAACATGTGCTGATTGCAACGAGGCTCTGGGTTCAATCCTTAAAACCACCAAAACAAAACCAAAGAAAAGCACAAAAGGGCTTAGCTGGCTAAAATTTTATACGCACGCACACACACACACACACACACACACACACACACACACACACACACACCCTGTATAGCCAGCTAAAATTTTATACACGCACACACACATGCACGCACACACATGCATGCATGCATGCACACACACACACACACATACACACCACACATACACCCTGTATAGCCAGTGCCAAAATCAGGAAATAACTCCCCCACTGCCCCCCAGCATCTGTAAGCCCCTGCCAACTCTCCAAACAACAAATGTCCCAGAGAACCACTCAGCCAGGACAGAATTTTTCTGTTTCTTCTTGCTTTACAACAGGTTTCTTACTAACAGGTCAGCAAACATCAAGCAAAACCATCATTCCCCCCTCCCCCCAGGGCAGTGCCCGGAACTCACCGGTTTTTGATGGGACCTCGAAAGGAAGGATCATATTTGGCTGGTTTACCTGGACAATATGAGAATGAGGCAGAGGGTTTCTCTCCTATATATATATATATATATATATATATATATATATATATATATATATGTTTTTAATGGTCTTGGGGCTTGAAGTCAGGGCCTCATTCTTTCTTGGCTTTTCCCCTCAAGGCTATCTCTGTACCACTTGAGCCACACCTCCACCAATGTCATTTTTACAAGTTAATTAAAGATAAGAGTCACACCTTTGTTTTCTTTTTCTTTCTTTCTTTCTCTTTCTCTCTCTTTCTTTCCTTTTCTTTTCTTTTTTGTACAGGCTGGCTTTTGAGTTATGATCCTCTGATCTCAACCCTCTAAGTACTTCACTATGTCTGGTGGTCCCTTCCTCACTTCAACCCTAGGAGGACCCAGCACAGGAGCCAGCAGAAGGAGGAAACAGAGCCAGTAGTAGGACCCAGACCTGGTCAGCTGCTCAACAGCTGTCTGCCAGGAACTCTACCCCATCAGACAGCAGGGCAATAAGGTCTTTATGGGTTTTCAGTTCACACTTCAAGGCCATCTGACTGGAAAATGGCCTTGGTCTTATCCCCATACTAGTCTGTTTTTCCAGAGGGCTCTGGCCAGCTGGGATCCATGGCTTTCCAGCACCCATTCTTATCCCTAATCTCTGTATGTATATCCTCATTCTGGAACCTGCTCAGAACCATCCAGATCTGAGTCCCTCAGCTCCCAGGCCCTCCACACAGCTGTACCCACTTCTTGCCCCAGGCCCCAGGCAAAGAAACTAAAACCAAAGAGGTCCACACCTGCAGGGGCCTGGGGAGGGAGGGGGGAAAGGGCCTTCGTTGACTCTCATTCTGAAGGGATCTTAGTCCTCTGGCCACCACGAAATTCTGGGCAGCCAGTCAGGCTGACACCTGAGCTGGCTGGCCGTTGAAGTTGTGGCCACGTTTCTGTTCCTGGTCTTCCTTGAGTACATACAGGGAGGAGGTGGAGCCAGGCAGCCAGGGTCCCTTGTGGGCACCCAGGAAGAAAGATAGAGAGCTGGGCCAGAGACTGAGAAGGGGTAGGATCCACTTTCCCAAAGAGCCCTGGACTCTGTTCCATCCTGGCTCACCGAACTGAGGTCAATGATTGACCCAAAGCTGCTCCAGGAAGTTTTCTGGAGAGCCCTGGCCCCTTCCCCTGTTTGCCAGGGAAAGTCAGCCCCACCTGGAGGAGGCCGCTCCTCCCTCAGGATTATGGTCCCTCTCCACCCAAGGGATCTGGCCGGCAAGCTGCGGCTCTCACAATTTGGGGATCCTGGAGGCCGAGCTGTAGCTCTAATTTCTTAGGACCCCTGGGACAGACTCCCAGACCTTTTTCTTCATGCATTCTGGATGTCTCGCTCCCCCTCTTCACAGGAATCCTACAAGGCCCTGCCCCTGTTCCTCAAAGACCCCAAACAGACCCAGGAGCAGGGCTCAGTCTCCTCCCAATAGGCAGCTCAGGATTCCAGTCCCTCACCAAGACCTGAATGGCAGGCCCCTGGCACCTTCCTCCTCAAAGACCCAGAGTCCAGGCTGGAATTCCTCCCTTGCACAGGACCCCTGGCAGACACTCCTAGCCTTTAAACTTTAAGTCCCATCCCCTCTTCTGCTCAGGACCCCAACCCTGCCACCTTCCATCCTTGTTTGCCAAGACCCTGTCCTCAGGGGCCCAAAGCCCAGGTCCGAAATCCCTCTACCGCCTACAAAGCCATCTCCCCCTGCATACCCAGACCCCAGCCTCACTCTGCAAATGGCTCCCAGTTGTGGCTCCCAGGTCCTGAGCCCCATCGCCCCAGGACACCAATTTCATCTCGTTTTATTGGCTTGTTTCCTGGTCCCTCACCTCAAGGACCCAGAACTCTCCTTAGTTCCTCGACCTGGATCTAACCTCAGCCACCATTGTCTGCAGTCACCACCAGCCAGCCTCCCGCCCTTCAGAACACCAGCCCTTGGCCCCAGCCTCCAGCCTCACCGTAAGCCTCGTTCTCATCCTGCTTTCCACCCATGGCTCAGTCGCCGGAGTGATTGGAGCCTGGGAGACCTGGCGTCTCACCTGCTACCTGCCCCGCCTTCCCAACACGTCATAGCCCCACCCCTGCCTGTGGTCCCAGACACACTCCAGTTCCTCCTTCTGATCTCCACAACTCTAAGACCAGGCAGCTCGCTGAGAAGGGACTGGAGCTGCTGGCTGGGAAAGTGTCACAGCTGTAAGGACTTAAGAGTCTTCGGGAATTCTGCAAAGTATCTCTCAATGGCAATGCCCTCCAGCCAAAAAAAAAAAAGTTCAGATTTGTCTTTAAGCCCTTGACTAGAACTTGCTGCCTGTGTCCCCCACCAGGCAGTTTCCCCCTCCACTGTGCCCCTAGAACCCACAATCCCTCAGGCTGTGTGCTTCCTCCTCCCCTCCCCACAATCACTCAGACAACTTTATTACCAAACCCAACATTTATTGAGAACAAAGAAAATGAGTTGGCACAGAGGCCCAATTCTAATTCACCAATCTAACTAACGTGGGGATGAGGGTGGCCGGCCCTGGAGTCACTCTCAGAGCGGAACCAGCTTTGGATGAGGGGCTTGCAGACCTCCAGGGTCTGGTTGGGGGGGGGGTCTCTGGTAGAGGAATGTCTAAAGGGCAGTGGGAAAAATGGCAATGCCCCAAATTGGGGCTGTGAGCATCAGATAGCAGAGGGCTGTTGAGCTGGTGGCCACCAGTGTCAGAGAAGGGAGGGTGTGGTCCATTGTCAGGTGTTGGCAGGGGGCAGGGAGCCGAGCTCTGGTAGTAGCTCAGGGTGGGGGTCCAGGCGGGCCAGCCGGCTCTGCTCCAAAGCAATGGCCTCAGCTGAGTGCTTGCACTTCTCAGAGCCACACTGACAGGTGAAGTATTTGCTTTTAATGTCCCAAAAGCGGTCACCATAGTCAAACCTGTTAGAGGAGCACAGGATCTTGTCGGATCTTGCCCAGACACCAAAAACCCACCCCAAAGATCCTGCAGATCTCCGTCCCCAGGAGAGACGCAGGCCCTTCTAGATGGTCCTCAAGTCCTTGCAGATTCTAGAGGCGAAGCTTCAGCATTGCCGTGCAAACTCATTAAAAATGTAAGACGTGGGCCCCTTAACTAAGTGAGCCAGAATTTCTGAGGCTCAGGGCTTTTATTTTTTTTTTCTTTTTTGGTGGTGACTAGAATTGGACCCAGGACCTTGAACATGGTAGGCAAGCATTCTACTAATGAGCCTACAGTTCCTTTTTTTTTTTTTTTTAAAGTGCTGGTACTGGAGCATGAACTCAAGAGGCTTGTGCTCTTACTCTTTTGCTCAAAATGCTCTACCACTTGAACCATACCTCTACTTCCAAAGTTTTTGTTAGGTTAATTGAAGAGTCTCTTGAATTTTTCTGCCAGGGTTCCCTTTGAACCCTAACTCTGGGATCTCAGCTTCCTGAGTAGCTAGGATTATAGGCATGAGCCAATGGTGCCCAGCCTAAAATTTTTGATAAAAAGGTCTTCCTAAATTGCCAAGCTGGCCTCCAACTTGTGATCCTCCTGCCTCTCCCTCCCAAGTGGGGAGATCACAGGTGAGCAATGCCACACTCACATAGGCACTTTTTTTTTTTTTCTATTGGAATGCTGTCCCTGTAACTCAGGGCCTCGAGTTCTTGCTAAGCTTTTTCACTCATGGCTACTGGTCTATCACTTGAGCCACACTTTCAGCTCTGCTTTTTGCTGGTTACTTTAGGGATAGCATCTCATAGACACATTTGCTCTGGCTGGCTCTGAATGTGATAACCACATCTCAGCCTCCTGAATAGCTAAGGTCTTAGATTCTATTTTAAGAAGCCCTCCAAAGGGCATACTAATCTTTCCCAACCCAAGCCTCACCCTAGTTCCTCCCCCGTCCGAATGTCTCGGGAACTGAAGAAAGCAATGCGTGGAAATCGCAGGTCTTGGTGCAGCATGAAGACCCGGACAGGGATGATGTTGGGATCACACAGGTGGTTGATGAAGCGGCTAATGTTGCCGTAGTAACGAGCATCGATGCAGTACACCTCTCCATCCTGAAGGCAGAGGGAGAGTGCTCTCTTCACAGTTACCTTCACTCTGCCTCCTTGGCCAATCTTCCCCTCACTGGCCACCTAGTCCCACCACCCAGGTTTCCACCCGATGACTTCCCAGAGTCTCCAGAAACTCATCCAGTGGAAGCAGAAGGGACAGAGGAGGTGTCACCTGCCCACCTTGTTGTCTAAGTCGAAGAGGTAGGAATCATCCTCTCTGACATCAGCCTCAGCATCGGAGATCAGCTCCCCGACGTACCTGTTGGATAGGAATCATGGTTCTGAAGGGGAGCAGGTTGTTGGGAGGTGGCTCCAGACCCTGTCTCTCCTCACAAGCCCAAAGAATCGTCTTTCACTTCTCAGCTATTCACCACTATCTGCCAAGTGCCAGGTTAACACCACAGGGGCTACAGTAGGTGATCTAGGGCAGAGTGGATCCAGAAGGATCAGGAGCAGGAATGAGGCATCTGCGGGATACAATCCTGCCAGCTGAGGTGCTTAGGTATTCCTTGGATGGTCTGAACATAGGCAGGACTGGTGCGTGTGAGGGGAAAGCCTGGAGGCTGATGGGGTCAAGAAGACCTGAGGGAAGTGAAGGGGATGAAGGGGAGGATTTGGAGACAGGCAAGCCTCTGTGGTGAGAGGATTAGTACCCAGGGGCTGTTGCCAGGGAAGTTTGCTTGCATGCAGACACTGGGAGGTTTGTGTAGGAGGAACCGCCCAGCAGGTGGTTGTAAAGAGTGGCCACACAGTGGTAAGGGAAGGGCCAGACTGCAGGAAGAGAGGGAGGATGAGGAGCTCTGGGGTGGGACAGTAGAGGGAGGAGCTGGTGAAGAGCAAGAAGGAAGAGGAGGGGCAGCAGCAAGGGCAGCATCATGCTGCAGGCGGACAGATGCCAGGAGAACCAGGACTGAGACCCAGCAGTGAGAGGGTGAACAATTGTCAGCAGAGGGGAAGGCAAGGGCAGGTTTAACACAGACAAGCAGTGAACAGACGCTGGAGAGGTTAAGACCCAGGAGGACGGGGCTACATGTGTGAGAGGTTGAGAGGACATGTGATAAGAGAGAAACCAGACAATCCTCTGAAAGGCAAACACGGGCTTCCCCACGTAAGGTGATAGAAGAGTAGTTATTATCATCTCCACAAGGAAGATGAGCTCAGAGGTTCAGTAGCTTGCCCATGAACACACAGTAGCACAGCAGGCCTCAAAGGCAGGTCTATCTAAAACTGCCACTTGCCCCACCTGGGAAGGCAGTTGAGAAGGGAGAGGGGGAAACGGTTTGGACAGAGGGGGAGGAAGACAAGGCAGTGGTGATGGGCAGTTCTGGGGCATGGGCACCGTGCAGATAGCCCATGCTACGGGACAGGGGTCAGAGAGGGCTGGCTGGAGTGGGCAGAAGGGATACGACCATCAGGGAGGAGGGCAAAGGGAGGCCTGGGAGAAGATACCCCAAGCGAACTCACTCGCAAATGAAAGTCCCCTGGGGGATTGTCTGCAGGGCGCGGACCCCCCAGCCCATCTTGGCTGTTCGGTAGAGCTGCAGTCGAACCCTAGGGAAGGAGAGAGGGTGGTATTGGGTGCAGGGACCCTGACAAGCCCCAGGGGAGGGAAGGCAAGAATGAGATGGGGTGTAGGGGGCTGCAGGGGTGGGTGTCTCACTTGATGCCACTCTGTACCACGCGGTTCTTGCAGTTTCTCCAGCAGGAGCAGGCCTGGTTACACTCAAAGATCAGGGGGGGCTCGATCTTGTTAAATTCCTGGAGCAGCCGCCCATCCTGACAGGGTGACAGGGAGAATAGGGGTGGTCTCTGTGTGGATCTCACCTCAGCGACTGGGGATCCCCAAGACTCCACAGGAAGAGCCACTGTTGACCCAATCCAGAGCCAGGAGGAGAGGTATGGGGGAGGCGGAGGCTCTGAGGTCAGAACCAGGAAATGCAAAGGCATCCAACGGCATTTGTATACACCTGGGCAGAGCCCCAGCTCTGACCTGGCAGCCTCCCAGGAAAGGTGTCTTGCTCTGCCCTCTTTGTCACTTCCTGCCGTTGGGCAGAGCCCAGGGAATTCAAGTTTGAGGCCAGTTCCTCTGCTGGAATGGAGTGGCCAGGTGATCTCAGCCAGGAAGGGGGGCGGGCAGGGGGCACACACATACCTTGTCGTACCAGCAGCGGATGCTGAGTTGGCCACATAGGCAGTTGGAGCTGGAACAGTCATCCACACAGGTGCAGTGCTAGGTAGAAGCAGAGGGTAGTTCAGCCTCTGCACCCACCTCCACCCTCAAGCACTGTCTTTCTCTGGATCCATGTTCTAAGACAGTGGTTGGTGATGGTCCCAGGATGAGGGGGAATCCAGATGCGGCAGGTGACAGTGGTCCCCATGAGCTTACATGCACAATACCATTGTGTAATCTAGAAAAGGGGCCCATTTTCCTGCAGACACACCCCTTAGTAGGCCTCTTGCCTGCCCCCACTCTTTAAAGAGGCCAGCTGCCTTGTTAGTTCCAACTGGCTCCACTGTACTCAGTGCTTTTGGGTATTTTTTGGGGGGGGCGGGGGGGAGGAGGAGGGATGGAGAGCCACCACACACCTGCAGGTGGGTGATATTTCGGTCAATGTTCATGGTAGATGTCTCACAGTTCTCTGAGATGTACTTGTAATCCTCAGGGCAAGGTTCTCCATCCACACCATTCACACAAGGAATCGGCACATTCTCATAGCCTCGAGCCACGTCTCTGCAGGATGGGAGCATGGAGAGAGGGCTATGAGGACCTTCCTTATGTTGGGAAACGGAGGTTCTGGGGTTCATTAGAGTAAGGATGCCAGATAAACCGTGGGATACTCAGTGAAACTTAAATTTCAAATTAATAGGGGAAAATATTTGAGTATAATTACCTCCCAAATATTGCATGGGACATTCTTCTACTGTGTAGCTGTTCATCTGAAATTCTCTTTTGTGTCTGGATGTGAGGTTTATACTAGGGCTTGAACTCAGAGCTAGGCTGCTGTCCTTTAGCTTCTTCACTCAAGGCTGGTACTGTACCACTTGAGCCACACACACTTTTACTTCTAGTTTTTTTTTGGGTCTGGTTGTGGGGCCTGAACTCTGGGCCTGGGCGCTGTCCCTCAGCTCTTCAGCTCAAGGCTAGCGCTCTACCACTTGAGCCACAGCGCCAGCGCCACTTCCGGCTTTTTTTTCTTTTTTCTTTTTGCTTATGTGGTGCTGAGGAATCGAACACAGGGCCTCATGCATTGCAAGGCAAGCGCTCTACCACTGAACCACCTTCCCAGCCCCATACTTGTAGTTTTTTTTATTGTTAATTGGAGATAAGTCTTACAGATGTTCCTGCCCCAGCTAGCTTTGATCCTTGATCCTCAGATCTCAGCCTCCTAAGTATCTAGGATTATGAGCCATGGTGACCAGCTCTGAATTCTTCTTTTGTGATGTCTATGTTGCTCAGACTGGCTTCAAACTCCTGAGGTCAAGTCATTCATCCTGCTGCTTCATTCAGCCTCACTAGCTAGTTAGTACCTAGGACTATAGGTCCACTTGGCTCCACTTGAAATTTTTTATTTTTTTTTTTTGGGTCCGGTTGTGAGGCCTGGGCGCTGTCCCTCAGCTCTTCAGCCCAAGGCTAGCGCTCTACCACTTGAGCCATAGCACCACTTCCGGCTTTTTTTCTTTTTGCTTATGTGGTGCTGGGGAATCGAACCCAGGGCCTCATGCATGCAAGGCAAGTGCTCTACCACTGAGCCACCTTCCCAGCCCCTCCACTTGAAATTATAATCTAATAGTTCTTTTTAAAAAAAAATTTGGGGGTTGGTTGTGGGACTTGAACTCTGGGCGTGGGCGCTGTCCCTCAGCTCTTCGGTCAAGGCTAGTGCTCTGCCTCTTGAGCCACAGCACCACTTCTGGTTTTCTCACCAGATAAGAGATAAGAGTCTCATGAACTTTCTGGCCTCAGAACTCAGCCTCCTGAGTAGTTAGGATTACAGGCGTGAGCCACCGGCGCCCAGCCTTTAAAAACATTTTTTTTTTTTTTGGGTCAGTCTTGGAGCTTGAACTCTGGGTCTGGGCATGGTCGCTGAGCTCCTTTTGTTTAACACTACTGCTCTACCACTTGCATCGCAGCTCCACTTTTGCTTTTTTCTGTGATTAATTGGAGTTAAAAGTCCTATGGACGTTCCTGCCTAAGCTGGCTAGGATTACAGGCGTGAGCCAGCGGCGCCGGGGCTACCTTCTTTTGTGACACTATTCGCTGTGTAGTCCAGGCTTGTCATCTAGGATCCTCCTGGCTCAGCCTCCTGGGTGCCTACATCATATCCTCAATTATCTGCTCTATTTGTCAACCCTAGAAAGAGAGGGGTCTCGGACATTTCTGGGGCCTGGCCAGGGGCGGGGGAGGTCTTGGGAGAGGTGGCAGTGATAGTTCTGGGTGCAGGAACTCACCGGCAGATGATCTTCTCGGTGCGGATGGCCCGATTTCCCACCCCAAGCCGCAGCTTGCGGTTGAGCTGAAGCGCAAACCATACATCGGAGCGCTCAGGTGTCAGGTCCCAGGCTGTGTCCCCTTCTTTGTTCCGCAGCTCGGGGTTGGCCCCACGTGACAAGAACAACCTGGGGAGGGGACATGGAGTTGTAGATGGGGCCTGGACTCTGGGAGGCAGGGTGGGGACATGGGTGGGGCAGTGGGGGCTCACAGCACGCAGTCGTGGTAGCTCTCCCGAGCGGCAATGTGCAGGGGTGTGTCCCCGTGGTAGTTGACAGCATGCAGGTCACAACGGGCATTCAACAGGACCTCAGCAATGGCAGCGCTGCCAGTGAAGGAGGCCCAGTGCAGGCAGATGTTTTCCTCCTGTGGAGGTGTAGGGTAGACATGGGGTATACGTAGCCTCCACTTTGCTCAGGGGACGGGTTTTCCCACCTTCTTCCAACCCTGACCGTTGTCACTCACATTGTCGGTAAGGGTGACATCAGCACCCCGTGTGAGCAGCATGCGAATCACGTCAATGTGCTTGTGTTCTGCTGCCCAGATGATGGGGGTCCACCCGCCGCTGTCCTGTGGGTGGCAGAGAGTGAGGGAGCAGAACCCGACCACGCTCACCAAAGTGTACATGCTCTGGAGCTAGTCTGAGTGTGATTCCCAGCTCTGCCTATAAGCTGTAGGGGACCAAGGACAAGCCCCTTAGTGTTTCTGGGCCTCAGTTTCCTCATCTATAAAACAGGATTAATAACGGCCATGGCCAAAGACTGCAAAGACAATTAAGTGAGCAGCTTTTTTTTTTGCAGGATACTGGGCTTTGAATTCAGGGTCTGCTGCTTGATAGGGACTTTATCACTGGAGAAACACTTTGACCACTTTTTTGCTTTACTTTAAAAATAGGGTCTGGCATTTTTGCCTCTGACAGTGGATCTTAACTCAGCCTTTCAGGTGGCTGGAATCAGCTGTGAACCACGCCTGATTTGTTGGTTAAGAGACATTTTGGTAACTGCTTAGGCTGGCTTCAAATTGCTCCACTCTCTTCAAGCTCTGTCTCCCGAGTAGCTGGGACTACAGGCATGAGATACTACACACGGTCCTTTTTTTTGTTTCCCCTTCTAAAACACATTATTTCTTGGGTCTGACCAATGGAAGTCCTAGAAGGAATAACAGCCCAACAGCAATAACTGTCCACTGGTACATAGACTTATTACTATAAACTATTTCCCACACAGAGGAATCAGTCCCTCTTACAGAAATGCTAAGATTCTGAGTCCTGGGTAAGCCGTGTTCTGAAAGGTTAGAATGCTCTCAAATGCCAAAGATCAAAGTCACACAAGCCTACAAGGGGTTCCTCTAGACCAGAGATGGAGAACAGTGACAATGGTAAACTGAAACACAGCCGACATGTGTAAACTTGGGAGTACACAGACACTTGCTGAGATTAAGGCAGGAACTCACTGTTCGGAAAACTGATAAAGAGAAAGCAGCAGGAGAGATACAAATGAAGAGGAAAGAGAGGGGAACACAATGAGCAGTGTGATACAGGCTGAAGGGCAAGAGATCAGAGGGAGGAAAGGGGTCAAAGCCTGAGGCTGGGCCAAGGAAACCCATGCAGACCTGGGCATTGACGTCCACCTGTCCCGTGCTCAGCAGCAGGCTGACCATCTCCAAGTTCCCAATTTTGGCTGCGTGGTGGAGGCAGGTGGAACCATCCTCCTCCTGAGAGACAAACAGGAAGATGAGTCCTCCGGCTGGCACCGAAGCCTTGTCCCTAATTCCTGCCCTCTGGTGGCTGTCGTACCTTGCTGTAGACACAGCCGCCACGCTGTACCATGTAGCGTGCCACATCCAGGTGGTTGTTCACCACAGCCTCCATCAGGGGCGTCCGCTGCTGTTTATCCACTGCATTGATGTTGGCTCCAGCCTGTGAGGGAGGGGCATGAGGGCTGGCACGGGGGGAAAGGAGTGGAAGGGGAGACCTCCAAGGGCCTGGTCAATGAGGCGGAGGGTAAGGCCCGGGCTGACCTGCAGCAGCACATGGCAGATTTCCAATGAGCCCTTTTGGGCAGCTGCATGCAGGGCTGTGCGCTTGCTCTGCTGGTCACTCTGGAAGTTGGGGTCCAGGTTGTCTACTGTAGGGAGAGCCCATCACACCAGGGGAGGGAGGGACAAATGGTAAGCAAGGTAGGGGTGGGGTGGCACCTCTTCCAGGAAGATTTCATAGGGCCCCTGCTGGGCATTCTCTGCACTAGCCTTCACCAGGGCACTCAGCAGAGGGCAAGTGTAGAGCGGCTCCTTAGTACTGCTCACTGTGCACTGGATGGGAGCGTGGCCTCCACCCATGCATTCCCACTGTCCCATCAGCACAGGTTAGGTTGTCCTTCCCATTGCACTAGGTCCGCAAAGGAAAGGACTGTGCTCCTGGACTGAGCCTGGTGCCTGGCACGGAGCAGGTGCTAGTGAAGGCGGGCGGCGGGGCACTCACACAGCATCAGGATCACTTTCTGCAGCTCTCCCTGTTTCACGGAGAGGTACAACTGCCGGGGGTGGAAACGGAGCTTCTTCCGCCTGCCGGGAGAGGGAGGGGTAGAAGGTGGGCTGTTCAGATTTGAGCATCGAAGGCAACATCTGCTGCTCTGGCCCCAGCCCTGGCCACTGTGCCGACAGCAACTACACTACACTTACCTTTCTGACTCCTGGATAACCAGGGCCTTCTCCAGGGCCTCCCGACCTGGCCCGGGTGGCAGTCCCACCGCTGAGAGACAGCCCCCATTGGGCAGGGTGAGAGAAGGGCCCGAGCTGTCGATGGTGTCAGCCAGGGGATCACAGGGTGGGCGCCGGGGCTCTCCATGCCCTCTCATCCGGGCGCTGTGGGAGAAAGTTCTCAAGTCTGGGGCTGGAGGGTCGGGTAGGGAACAGAAAGCCGGGCAGGGTAAGGCTAATACCTGGGCTGCGAAGTATCTGCTCTGCCTGGGGCGTCCTGGGCCAGGGGTGGGGGCGCAGGGGCTACTGTTCCAGCTGGAGGGGTTCCCCCATCGCCCCGTGGGATGGTCACCTCCTGGGCTTCCGAAGCATCTTCTCCACAGTGTGGACAGAAGACCATCCCATTGAGCTGGGACACACAGGCCTTGTGGAAGCGGTGGGCCACCCGGAAGTCGGGGTGACATTCCAGGAAGGTACCCTACAACAGGGAGAGAACCTGGTCAGACTGTCCACCAGGGGCAGACTGTTTATTGTAGGCAGGCTACCTGTCTGCCCTACCAGTCACTTACTGCTGTGCAGAAGTAGCCACAGCCTGGGCAGCAGTGGTGTTTGACCATGCGGGCACGGTGGGTCTCACAGAGCACCATCAGGGCCACGCGGCTGGAGGGCCTCATGGTTTCCCGTTTGAGGATGGCGGCATTGCAGCCCGACAGCTGTTGGAAGGGAATAGAATATGAGGCTGGGGCCTAGAGCTCCTTCGCCCAGCCTCTCTCCCTGAAGTCCACGGGCCCACCTCTCCATCCACGCTCTCGGTAGCCATGCACTTGTGCCCTGCCCGTTCGCTGATTCGGTCAATCTTGGGTGCTTCCATGCGACAGCTGCAGAGGGGCAGCTCCTCAAAGCCGCGCTCTGTTTCCAGCGAAGATGTGTCATTGGACACCCCTTGGATAAGAGGGAAAAAATGGCGCTGAAGAGGCCCTTCCGCTCACCCACTGGAAGGCTTCTTTTGCTTCTACACTCCCTCTCCCTCCATGCCCCAGAATCCCAGTCTGCCATAAACACTCCGGCTCTGGCCGAGTTCCCCTCCTTCCCTTTCCCTCCAGCCCAGAGGGCGCCCCCTAGTGGCTCCATGTCCCAGCAATTGGCAATTACCAGCGTGGTTGGGGGAGAGGGTCCCCTCGCTGGGCAGCTCCAGGGACCCCAGAGGGACTTCCATGTACTCACTGGGGCCTGAGGAGCCCACACCATTCACTCCTGACACAGAGACAGAGAGAGTGAGAGTGCGAGCTCACGGGCCTGGACGCGGCGGCACATGCGGTGTACATGCATGAACGTGTGTACGTGCGTGCTCTGTGGGGCCGGGAGGGGGGCTAGAGGAGGAGACCAAAGAACGGTGGAGCACCCTCACCTCGCAACTCCTTGGCCCGAGGAGGCTCCCGCTTCCGACGTTTCCGAGAGGGTTTCACCCATGGGCTGTCCTTCCGCCATTTCTTCTTGGCCTTGCGCCTGCCACTAGAGCCACTCTGTAGAGGAAAGAAGAGGTAGGGGGTCCTGGCCTCCACCCCCACATCAAAAGATTCCCACTATGCTAGAGGATCAGCCTTCATTCTTACTCTATCTGACTGATTGCCTGACTCCTCATCTTCCTCCTCTTCCTCTTCTTCCTCCTCCTCCTCCTCTTCTTCCTCCTCTTCCTCTTCCTCCTCCTCCTCCTCTTCACTCAGTTGCTCAGCCAGAGCTTCAACTTCAGACTGGGAGAGAGGAAAATAGGTCTAGGAGAACAATGACCACCCTCCCCGCCCCCCAGGCCACAGTGGATTCCAGGGAGAATTTGACAGAGTTCAAGCAGGGTATATTTAGCCCCCAGGACAGACAGGGGAGGGAAGAAAACCAGCACCACCAATGGCATGCAGGGAAGGCTCCCAGGAGAAGGTAAATATGGGAAGAAGAGGAAAGAGATGGTTGGGTAAAGACAGGGCATAGACTACAGCATTTGAAAAGCCATTATAGTTACATTCAACAATGTGTGTGGCTCCTGGCAACCTAATACAAAGAAAAGCAAATTCTAGAAGACATATAGTATGATACTGTTCTCATGACATTTAGAAAAGACAGCCAGCTGTATAATAAAGGGGTCAGGCTGACATCACCTGAACCCACCTCCGGGTCAATGTTAATGAGATAAAAAAATAAATGTGGGGCTGGGAAGGTAGCTCAGTGGTAGAGCGCTTGCCTTGCATGCATGAGGCTCTGGATTCGATTCCTCAGCACCACATAAGCAGAAAAAAAAAGCCAGAAGTGGTGCTGTGGCTCAAGTGGTAGAGTGCTAGCCTTGAGCTGAAGAGCTGAGGGACAGGGCCTAGGCCCAGAGTTCAGGCCCCAGGACCGGACCCAAAAGATAAATAAATAAACAAATAAATAAATGTGAAGCAGCACTTGAACCCATTTTCAAAACAATAAAACAAGAGGGACATGGAAAACGGATCAGGCTTGTAGATCTATAGTTTAATCAGAGGAACTTGTCAAACCCTACCCAATCAACTGAACTTCCAAGAGATTCTATAGCATAAATGACTTGGTTTCTATTTTTTGTTTTTTTTGGGGGGGTCTGGTCGTGGGGCCTGAACTCTGGGTCTGGGCGCTGTCCCTCAGCTCTTCAGCTCAAGGCTAGCACTCTACCACTTGAGCCA